ATCCTACTAATGTGTTTAGTTGAAGCAGACAGCAGCCATTTAATTCGAGGCCTATGGGCTTTATCACGGCCTTAGATTTGTTTGATAAGGAAGCCGATAAAAGAAATAAATAATTAAATTATAAAACAAATTTTTATTGCACGTTATTTTTCTTATTTAAACAAATTTTGTATCTAAATATCAATAACAATTTTTAACATAGTTTATTCAGATAGGTTAACAATTTTTACATGTTATAAAATAAAATGGTTTTACTGAGTTTCTGTCGTTTACTAGCAGTTTTCATAATGGAGGATGTTATTATTTTACTGTAAGAATATAATCTCACGTTAAGATAGGTTCTGGTTACTTTGTTTATAATATCGATTTTGTGAGGTCTTGCCAATAAATCTGTTGAATTCCAGCAAGCATCACATTCTGGAAATAGCATGGTGTCTGTCGCCAGTGAGTTTTGGACATTTATCATAATTTTTAAATCCATATTTTTAATAAACATTTGTTTTTTATCCACCATAATGGTTTTAAATAATGTTTCTGTCAATTTAACAATTTTGTATACCCCATCAGAAGCATACTTCAAACCGCCTCTGTTTTTCATAATTGTAAAATATTTTGGTGTGGTATTATTTTGATAAACGTGATCATTTTCAATGTATGAATCTGTAATAGCTTCAATACAACCATCACATTTCAAAGTTGGGATTAGTTTTTTAACAATATATCCACTTATGTAATATAATATATTTTCAATAGCGAAGCTATTAAAATCTAATTTATTGTCGGGTTTATTGTACTGTTCTGCTAACAAAGAAATATCAAATTCATTTTCTAAATTTTGTTCTGGTGCTTTATATTTCCATTTGATTGAAAAAAGAGAATCTTCATGAGGTGACATCAGTGTACAGTTTCCTGAGCTAAGTCTTATTGAAGTGTGCAGTAAAGTACTTTTTAGAGCATGTTTGAATTGCAAACAGGTAGGATTATTATTATGACCCAATCGACCTCTCATAAATCCAAAAAAAATTTCTATTGCATCTTGGCTTAATTTGTATGTCAGAATAAATTTAAAATGTTGATTTATTAACAAATCCTTTGCTATAGCTATAGTAGATTTTATGGATGCAGCAAAACCTAATATGAATGTTTTTCTTTTACTTTTCCACAGATCTTGCCCAGTAGCTGTCTTCAGTGAATACAAATAGTCAATATTATTTTTCATTTTTGTTTCTAAGTATTGAATATTTTGTTTATTAATTGGTTGTTTAAAGACTTTTGCATATGGGTTTCAGGAATTCAAGAAATCAAAAATCTCATCTACAACCCTGATGAATTTTATTGTTGCATCACAATTTTCAAAATCTTTTGAGGTCTTGGATAGAAATTGTAGAGAGTCTGCGACGGAACTGCTAAGTGTTTGAACTGCTAATTTTACCTTCATACTATTGCTTTTCCAATTTATATGTGAAGAGTTTATCTTGTTAGCCAATTTAAAGCCCATGTCGTTTTGCAGTTCAAATAATTTATGAATATATCTCCATTCAATAAGACTGTTGTTTGAATCTTTAAATACTCCTAGTGTTCCCAAAGCATTCCTAGCTAATTTAACATTATGGCATGCATCAGGTGTGAAATAAACATTAGCTTTAGTTGAAGTTATCGAAAAATCAGACTTGATTAAATCAAAAGGTTGGTCTAGATCACATCCTAGAGTTTTAAAAGTTGAAGAATTAGCATATGCTCCATCACAGGTGACTGCTACAACATTAATCCAAAATTTATCACATTGGGTAATAGCAATCCTAATTAATTGAGCTTGTACATTTGATTTAATTTTATCTACAAACCAATACCCAATTGGCCATTTCCATTTTTGTTTTAAGCTAGACAACATAAAAACTAAAACCTCCGTTGACTCTTTTTCACAGTCTTCAACTGTCAAACTATTACCATAGTCACAATAACCAACAAACCTAAGAAAAGTTTAATTTATAAATTTATATCTAGTTATAATATATTTAACTATGAATAATATTTTCTAATAATACATACGAATGACTAACTTTATCCCACTGAACTGATTTTTTAATACTCATAGAGTCTAATATCAAACAACAAAATTTATCTTCTTTTGGAAATTTACCTATTTCTAATAGGACATCTTGTAAAATACCAGTTTCAGCATTTATATTTGATACCCAGTTTCGTATAGCACTTGGATTAGGCAAAGCAATTGAAGTCCTTTAAATTAAAATTACAATTTCTGTAACTCAAATATATAATTGTTTCAGTTATTGTGTATACCTAACATAGTTATATGCTTTTGGAGAATAAAAATAAAGTGTAGTTGCAAACTTTTTTACTTCTTCACTGTATCGCCTTGCAGTAGGAGCTACATTACCATTATTTATAATATCTTTTAAAAAAACCTCAGTAAAATTTTTTTCAATTATATTAGTAGTTTCTCTATCAGTACAGGATCCAATAGTAGACATCAATTGCTGATAGGAAAAATTTTTATTAATAAAAATTACAATATAGTTTATTAATATATAAATATACAGTTAAGTCTCACTCATCCGGTAATCAGTTATCACTAATCCGGACATAATTAATATATACAATCAGTGGCGTGACGAAGGACTTTATTTGAGGCACGTCTCTCAGTTTAAAGGGTGGTGGGTTTCCTGGAGACTAGAGGCATTTCACATATTATAATAATTTATTAAGTGTGTACTAAGACTAAGCCAATCTTTCTCAGTTAGCATTAACGTAAATACATAATTACTTAAATAAGTATTTATAATTTATTACTTATATAAGTTAATGAAGTTCGCCACGCCAAACCTCGATAAGGCAAAAACCTTAATAAGTCAAACTCTGTTGATAACTCCGGCATAAGTGAGACTACTGTTTTCTAGCTTCTTTATATAAACCTCAAGTGTATTTATTTTTGTGTTCTGCCTTCTAACCGTTTGTTGTAAAAGTTTAATTCGCTTTTTGAGGTTGGCTTTTTTTGGTGTATCAAACAATTTTTTTTTAAATTTTCTTTTAAGTGTTGGTGTATATGTAGGGGTATGAGGTGACTGGCTGGAATCTGCAACAAATTTAATACATGACAAAGCATTATTGTATATAAATTAAAATTGTTAACATATTTAACTTACTAGATCCAATAAAAGTCAGATCGACAGCTTCATAATTACACCCAGCATTTTCAACACCAGAATCAATAGGTAATTTAGGAGAAGTAGTTGTTATATTAATTATATTTGATGAAGAAGAAACTGTAGATAAAAATGTAATTTACTTAATATTTGTTAAATAAATAGGTAAGTAGTACAAATACAACATTGAATGTAAAGAAGAATTATTTAATTTTACCTGAAGAACTATAATTGTGATCAAATTTGTTGCTGCTTAAACATTGTATTGCTCTTTTGGAATAATTGAAATTTGATGGTATCGCTGTATTTTTTAATATAAGTTTTTCTGGGGCTTCAACAAATTCACTTTTATTAAAATGGAGACTGCATAAGCGTGAAAATTTTGTTGGAATGAAGTTATCTCTTTGGATAGAGTGCACCCATTTTTGTCTCCATATCTCATCGATTGGAAATCTATAATTAAAAACAAAATATCAAACACATTATTATAAGAGTATTTCAGTAGAGCTAATTATTTTTGATAACTTTTTTGTAAAGTATTTAGTTACCTAAATAATTTTGTAGTTGAACCAACAACCCCGTCCTTGCTACTGCATCCATCAGCACAGCACTTATATGGCATAATTGGAAAAATAGCATAAAAATATTAAGTCACAAAACAATATACCTATTGCAAAAAACAGAACACAACAATACTGTCAACAGTGTCAACTACTCACTACTCAGTTTTGAGTTTTCACAGACGTGAAACACAAGTCAACAGACAACAACTGACAGTTAATGATAAAAATTGATAAGGCAAAATCTACATCGGCCTCGATTAAAATGGCGGATAATAACTTCGCATATTATCATCAGTTAGCAAACTAGTTTATTATACATATCTGTGTCTATAAGACTTAAACATTATAAAGCTGTGATATCAAGAATAAATGCTAAGTAAATTAAATTTTAAATTAATTGATTCTATATTTCTATCTCAATCATTTATTTACTTGGCTAGAATTTATATATTTCGACAAATAAACATGTCTATTCATAACTGGACTATTTAAAAAATTTCCATGACAAATGATACTAAATTTGTTTTATAAAATAGTCTTAGTTATTAATTTATAAAGAAAATAAATTCTAGCCAAGTAAATAAATGATTGAGATAGAAATATAGAATCAATTAATTTAAAATTTAATTTACTTAGCATTTATTCTTGATATCACAGCTTTATAATGTTTAAGTCTTATAGATGACTAGTTTTTTTTTATTTAGCAATTTTTTACACGGAGTCGACGAAGTGTTTTTGTTGGGATATTAATGACGCGTTGCGTCGAGTGTTTTATTGATCGCAGTGCATAATATACAAATAATGAGATCGAGACGTCGCGAGTGTAACGCTATGTCCTACGTGAACGCGGCGAATGCGAATTTGCGGCTGATGCGAACGAATTCGCGTTGGCCGCATTCGCCAGTCGCAATCGTGTCCTACCTATTTGCGACGAACACGAATTTGCGGCTGGCCATATTTCGATATTTTTTGTTTTTTTGACGTGCAGTGTGTTTTGAAGTGAGTTGTGCGATGGTTGTGCGGTATATTGTACACACTTAGGTTCAGCTCTTTTCTAATAATTAGAATTATTAAATTTAAATTTAAAATTTTTTTTTCTTTTAAATTAAGTCAACTAAAAATGTCATTGAATTTACAAAAACAATTATTTATGTTTGAAAGTACTGCACTGAAATATTTATTATATAAAAAATATTTGAAAAAAAGAAGATCAGCAGTAAATTCAATTATTTATAAGGATAGACTTGTTTTTGGTGAATTCTATCACCTATACCCACAGTTGCGAAAAAATGAAACTTCATTTCGATCTTATACTAGAATGACTACCGATACATTTGATTATATTTYAAATTTACTGAATTTGATCTTAAGACCAAAAACTTCCAAGAACCTATTTCCGTAGAGCAGAGGTTACTTGTAACAATAAGGTAAATAAAATAAGAAAGCATATATTAATATTATAATAATAAAAAATGTATTAAAAAATTTAGTAATGTAAAATAAACAAATAAAACCTTTGCATTATTAAAACAAAATGGAACTCCACTAAAGTAAATTATTCTTTAATTTCAAATTTCAAATTTTTTAATTTCTTACTCAGTATTGTTGGTAACCAATGAAGGTTGGATTATCTGACGAATTTGTGGTCATCTGTTGTTGAACATGTTGAGGAATGTATAGAGCTCGTGTATTGGTGCAGTTGGGACGTTTGCATTTTTATGTTGCTGATTCTGTATTGACAATTGGTTAATTAATACAGTTTGAATTTCGTTTCTTACTTGCAATTTTTGTAAATTATCCATGTTTTTGAAATATGGATGAAGTGACTTCAAGAACATCATGTCTTCATCATCCTGCATCTGTGGTTTATTAGATTCAAGTAACACGTTAATTTTTTGTGTTTCCAATTTTAATAATTCACTTTCAAAACTTTTATTTTCTTGTTTTTTCTTTTTCCTGATTGAAGAAGTTTTTGTAAAAGACGCATCTGAATCATTGGAAATACTTGTATGCGACAAATTTGAAATATTTGGAATAGTAAAACATTCTGACTGTGTGGTAGGAACTGGATTCCCAGGACTTACAATATCTTCAACATCAATAAAACTACCAGAAAATGAATTAACTTCTTCTGAATCTGAAAGGTCAGACGTTTGTAGTTGCGTTTCGTTTTCATCAGAGACATTTCCCTCGGTGGTTCTGGGAGTGGTTGTATCTTTTAAAAAATGCAATAAATGGTAATAGACCCATTTACCAGTATACACCTCTGCATTATCTTGGGAGTCTCCCGAACGGCTCTTTTTTACTTTTTTCTTTTCTTTTAGATACGTGTCTCTTATATTTTTCCATTTCCGTTTTACGTCTTCTCCTGTGAATATTTTGTTATTTGTAATTAAATTTGTGAAAAATGAATTTTTAGGTATTTAGCCACAGGACTAGCGTTCAGACAAATCGCAATTTCATTTAGAATATCTAAGTCCGCAGTCTCAAGCATTGTTATTGAAGTATGTAAAATAATATGGAATACATTAAAATTCAAACACATGCCTACTCCAAACGTCGATACTTTTAAGAGCACAGCTCTCCAAGAATTTTCCAAACTGTGTAGGAAGTATTGRCGGTAAACACATCAGACTGCGATGTCCAGAAAATTCCTGGAGTATGTATTTTAATTATAAACAATATCACTCAATTGTTCTGATGGCAGTAGCTGACGCGAGTTATAGATTTTTGATGATAGACGTGGGCGGATACGGGAAAGATAGCGATGGTGGTGTTATGGTAAATTCTAAATTTTACCAACGTATCGAGAACGGTTCTCTTAAACTACCAAATGAAATAAAATTACCAAATTCGAACATCTTGGCTCCTTTTGTATTTATAGGAGATGAAGCTTTTCCGTTGAGAAATTACTTAATGAGGCCTTTTCCAAGAAAGCAGTGTCAAGAAAACGAAAAACAGTATTACAACTATAGACATGCGCGAGCACGAATGACAATCGAGTGTGCATTTGGCATAGCTTCATCAAAATTTCGAATTCTATTAAAATCAATAGAAACAAAAGTAGAAAACGCTGATCATATTGTAAAGGCTATTTGTATTTTACACAATACAATAATAGATTTGGAAAAAAAATCTTCTACACAACATTACGCCCTAGACGATTACGAAACAGACACATACAARGGCCATAATCAAATGATATCGCTGAATTACAAAGGCAGAGCCAACAATCGAGCGTCAAGTACCGCAATTAATATAAGAAATAGATTTGTGAAGTATTTTATAGATAATAAAATTTAAAAAAATAATTTTTTATATACAAAAATGTCTAAAATAATTTTCCATACTAATTAGTTATTATTATACTATGAAAATAATTATAATGTCTGTWAGTTTAAATGTTTTAATATACTATTCAAACTAATTTTAACTATWAATAATTTTACACTTACTATTCATGTGTACTATTCTAGCAACGGCTTCCCATTCTTTCTCAGACACCAGTCTATTCCTATACTTCTTATTAAATTTGTTCCAGAGAACATTTCTTTTTTRTATCTCGGATATAAGGAGCTCCATATTGACCATACAACAATATAACTATAACTAATATAATGTTATATTATATAATATTAATTAATATAGTTATTAATTATAGTTTAATATATTATAATTTRATAATTTATAATACTTATTTACTTATTTGTGTATCGTATATTGTAAATTGTAATTTTACAATGTAAAATCATATGAAATTATTAAACTAACATCGCTTCGAATACGTCTACTCGCTTAAACGCGCGACCAAAAACAAAACGATTTGATTTTCAATCCGTGCGGCGAACGAATTCGTTCGCACCGGCCGCGTTTATCGCGTACGATGGACAATCCAATCTATTTTTATATGTTTGATAATTTTATTTGCCGCGTCGCTCGCACCGCAACGCGTTCACCGCGTTCGCCGCGTTCACGTAGGACACAGCGTAAAGGCTCGCGATCGGTACGCGCGCGGATCGTTCGGGTCGCGAATACGTCGGACCGGAGCTGCTCGGCGCGAGCTCGGTCGATCGAGACGTTGCTCGTTCGGGCGTCGTAGGCGAAGAGAACGATGGCCGGTAGGGCGACAGCGTTGTTCGCGTCGTCGGCCGCGTCGTTGGCGCGCGGGGGGTCGAGGTCGCTTTAGGAAGGAACATAAATATAATTACAAAGAAGTCGTATACAGAATAATACACAATAATAGGTACACCATAAAAAGAATAAATACGAATACAAAACGAAAGTATAAAAAGGCGCGCGTCGCCGTCGTGCGCTGAGCAAGTTGTGATAAGCTCGCGGTATCACCACATTACTCCCCCTCAAAAAAAGAGCAAAAACTAACCCGTTTTTGAGGCGTGAGGCGTCGTAGACGAATGAACCATTGTGTTGACGATGTCGAAAGGCTCCTCTGAGCGTCAGCGACGTCAGCGTGGTCCCTGCAGCTGAGTGAGAGGCGCGTGTTCGTCGTGAATCGTTGACTGGTCGTCGGGGTAGTACGTCGAATGGCGATGAGATGACGCTGGCCGTTCCAAAAGGCAATATGTCGAAAATCGGGTCGAGATGTAGTTGTTTTGGCCCGAAGGTTTTTTATGTCGGAATGTATTGATGAGTTGTGAAGTTGAAATTTGGAAAAAGTTTGATATTGATTATGTTTGTGATAAGGCGAGATTTGATATTTTAATTTAATTCACTTTGATGGTCGAAAAAGGRCGGATACAAAAGATATTCGGTGATGAAAAAAAAGGAATAGTAAATTCTGATCGCGATGAACTTACGCCTGCGATCCTGGTGTGGTCGTAATTGAGCACGGTGGCCGGCATTCCTTCGCGTCGCTCCCGTACCGCTGATGGTAGTAGCACCACCCGGTTGGTGGTGCGATACGCTGATCGCTGCCGTGTGAGGTCATCTTCGGAGCGGGTCGGACCGTTTGGGCGAGCTCGTGCTTGAGCTCTTTGTTTTGTTCGAGCAGAACTGCGACGGCGGAAGAGAGTCCGTCTACTCGGTCGCTTAGTCGCTCGAACTCTGCCCTTTTTGGCGGTTGAGCTGAGAGGATGGGGCCTTGCCAGCCCTGGAGAGCAGATGCTACACGCACACCGATCGACTTGTTTTGGAGGTTGTCGAAAACGTGCTCCATGCTTCGTGACAAAAGTGAGAACGGCGAATGAATTTGTCGAAATAACGTTGTGCTGAACACGTGTTCGTGGTGCGGCGTCGTGTGAGTGTCGCTCGTACGGACGTTGAAATCGAATTGAGAGGCCACCAATGTGGTAAGGCCGGTAAGGGTGACGTGTGTTATCTGTGGTAGTGTCGGTTGTCGACGGTGTTGCCGGACAAACAGGTTCGACCACCACTGCGTCACCTATACTCACGTATTTTTCGTAAGTCGATCTGACTCCGTGTTTCTGAAGGGTTGATACGTCGTCGTACGAGGACACCAGGTTCGAGGTAAATAAATATAAACTCAATATATATTATGACGCGTTGCGTCGAGTGTTTTATTGATCGCAGTGCATAATATACAAATAATGAGATCGAGACGTCGCGAGTGTAAAGGCTCGCGATCGGTACGCGCGTGGATCGTTCGGGTCGCGAATATACGTCGGACCGGAGCTGCTCGGTGCGAGCTCGGTCGATCGAGACGTTGCTCGTTCGGGCGTCGTAGGCGAAGAAAACGATAGCCGGTAGGGCGTGTCGTTGGCGCGCGGGGGGTCGAGGTCGCTTTAGGAAGGAACATAAATATAATTACAAAGAAGTCGTATACAKAATAATACACAATAATAATAGGTAAACCATAAAAAGAATAAATACGAATACAAAACGAAAGTATAAAAAGGCGCGCGTCGCCGTCATGCGCTGAGCAAGTGGTGATAAGCTTGCGGTATCACCACAATGATATTGATATGATATATTTAATTGATAACGTATACCACGCCTCCCTGGAGACCGTGTTCAAGGCCACAATCGCCTGATTCAGCCAACGCACAGAGTTTCGTACCACCGCAGGGTGATTCAGGATTCTCTAAAAGTTTTAGTCATACATTTAGTCATTGGCGTGACTAAAACAGTTAATTTACTCATGCATTAAGCCATAGAAAATTTTTGCGATTCTCTAAGCATTATGGACTAAAAATGGTTTAAGACCGTCTTAATTTAATGACTTAATAGATGCTTTTCATTTGGCGTAAAATAATGTAGCATTATGATCATTATGTATGACTTAAACAATTGTTATCTGCTGAACAGATTTTATGATATAAAATATACGTGCCTTTAATATTGAATTTGGCATTGTTATTAATTTTTATTTGCTGTATGTACTTAGGTATAATTTCTGTATAAGTTCTGTGTTTTAACATCTTTATTAATTTTTAAATAACGTAATTTATATTTAGTATTACATCCAAGAGTTAATTAAGTATGGCGTTCTTAGCATATGCGTTATTAGATGAAATAGAAGATCGTGAGCGTAATAAAGCTTTTACTCATCATAAATCTGTTTTAAGAGATAAATGTAATCCGTTCGATTTAAGTGATTTTAATTTTAAAAAACTATATAGACTTACAAAAAATGACGTATMAATGTTAATCGAACACCTTAGACCAAGCCTAGCTAAAATTAGAAAAAATGGTTTAAGTGTCGAAGTTCAAGTAAGTAKGTTTAAATCTTTACTATATCTAGACGCTCTCATATTATTAATTTGTTAGGTACATACAACAATTTAGGCTTTAATATATATGATTAAATGTGATATAGTTTACACTGTTACTGTAAATGTATTATGGAATTTAGGTATTTGTCACGATCCAGTTTTTAGCCACAGGTGCATATCAAAGAGGAATAGGCAGCGCCGAATAGGCAAGGTATCGGCCYACCGAGTTTTAGGATTTTCACAGACCCTAAAATAATGAACGGCCCATTTTTCAATAAAACAGATATTAATTCATATTTATATACATTTTTTTTAGTTTTTGGCTACTAACAAGTTTATAACCATGCTATTGCTATTCTGAGTAGAGCTGCAAATACYTAGTGTATTATTTTCATTTTTCCAAAGACATTATAGACTTGGAAATTCTATCTACAACTTTAGTTTGTTTTTTTTTGTTTTTTGGGTGGAAGGGGAGTATATTTAAAAGTAATTAAAAAATAATAATTGTTTGATAACAATTGTTTCCAAAATTTGAGACCGTTTCCACTCAAAATTGTCATGTGTAGGTGGTACTAGGATATCAAAAGGAAGAACTTCTGCTACCTACATAAATATATGTATTTAATTGTTGTTATTTATTTTATAGAGTTTATTTTTTATTTAAATTTATAATATCATCATTTATTAACTAGTTTTGCAAGCTATATAGAATAAGCTTTAATAGCTATCCGCTATCCATATTTTAATAATAACATAAACTTATTGACAAACTAATTACATTTTAATATGTTTTTTTGAATAAATCATTGTTAAAACAAAAAAAAAACAAAATGATAATAACATGATATCATACACCTACTTACAATAYACATATCAGGTTGAGAGTCACTGGGCACATTGCACATAAATATATAATGTATACATAAAAGGTTATAGGTACATAAAAAAAAATCTTATCAAACTAATAATAAATTGTTATTATAGTAAATTTAATTATCTAACAAATAATTAAATATTAATTCAAAAATTAAGTGTTTCTGACAGTTTACAGCTTTTTGTGGACACTTTATCAATGATACTTTCATTGTCCAAAGACATCAAAATATCTTTCTCTACGGACATAATTAAGAATGTTTCTAATTTTGATTGAGATAAACAGTTTCTAAGTCGATTTAATTCATATTTCAATGTGGAAAACGTGGTTTCGCAGCGTACTTGTGCACATGATAATGTCAATACAAACTTATACATTAGATATACAAAGCTATATGCAGACGAATGTAAATTAYATTTATATAATATTTTATAGCAACGAGCTAGGCAATTTTGGCAAGCTTTTTTACCAATGCATTTTCCATATGTATCTTGATCAATATTTTCAATTTCAGCCTCATCATCAATATTATAGTTATTCTCTTCGATTGACACATCAATAAGTTTAAGTTTGGGCCATTTTCTAATAAAATCTTGCATTTCAGAATGTAATTTACCTGCAGTGATTTCTGAATTGAATTTTGCTAGTTTTGAACTCATCCATTTGAAGCTATTCTCAGGCAAGTTCTCCTTAAAATAACGTGGATCCAAAAGTGAAATTTCTGTGTACAAATTGCCATG